CCAGAACTGCTCTTTCTTTTCAACATAACTTAAGTTACACATGATTTCTTCCAAGTGGTTTGGCTTGTTAAAAACATCTTGCATTATGATACAGGAATTTGCTGGCTTTGTGTTTACAGAAGTACCTGACTATGCCTGACTTTTGTGCAGCCTACGGCTGCTCTAATCGCGGCAGTCTGCAAACAAGAACCCGTGGAATCACGTGTAAGATATGACAATATTATGACTAAAATTAGGATAATCGTTAATTACTTAGTGGATGTATGTACATTACAAGTCCTGCTACACAGGATCAGTGGGGCTATGTGAGATAATAATAATAATAAAGAATACCAAAGCTGAGGCTGGACGATGATTGATTGTTGGTGTGCCATGTGTCACCGTGTGTCTTATTGGTTTTGTGTTATACTGTATTTTATTGTGTGCAGCTGGTCCTTATCTCCAAGACACATTAAAAACAAATAACCTTGAACCTTGAAGCCCCATCTCTCCCCACCTGCTCCTGCTTCCTACATCCCCTCCACACCACACCAAGTTGTTCTTCTTAATAATAATAATACATTTATTTTGGGGGGCCGCCTTTCATAACACCCAAGGACACCTTACAGGGGCATAGGGGCAATATAGGGAACAATTTAAACAGTGGATTTTGTGATATATCAGCCGGGGTGAGACAAGACAAACCACAAATGGACTACAGAAGGACACATGGTACAGTTTATATTATTCTTGGTCTTTGTTCAATAACATATTTCAAAGGTTCTGGATTTGTTTACAAATCTAGAAACTAAATACAAAACTAGGATGATATGAAGATCTCATTGTGATAAATTAGACATAACTGGCCTGTCTGTGAGCACATGTTATGTTGGTTTGGTTCTTCTGATAAAGGTGTGAATATCCAGAGATGGGGACTCGAGTCTGAGACTCGGACTCGAGTCGCACTTAAGTCGCACACACAGAGACTTCAGACTTGACTTGGACTCCTGCTCAAAAGACTTCGGACTCGACTTGGACTCGTGTTTTGGGACTCGTGAACAATCATTGTGTTTTCTATTTTTGGCGTATTAAAGGTGGGGTAGGTAAGTTTGAGAAACCGGCTCGAGATCGCTAGAATCTGAAAATACACAACCGGAGAAAATCTGCCACTTCCTCACAGAGCCCCTCCTCCAACACACACGAACGAGCACATGACCAATGAGGGCACAAGATAAGTTTGTGCCCCGATGGAAGGCTGACAGGCAGGTAGGCCATTCAGTTATTTTAGCCGGGCCGGCTATCGGGATGTTAAGAGCATTCCATGGAATATAACAAAAAGTGTATCTCGAGCCGGTTTCTCAAACGTACCTACCCCACCTTTAACATTAACATCATGGTAACACCATGGCGACCGGCGGCACACCTGCAGCTGTACCGCTTGTAATTAGGTTCAACTATAAAAACTTCGAACAAAAACGCCGGCGGCACCAACAAAAGGAGCGCACACTGCAAAGTCTGCAATATTAAAATCAAGGATGATGGTGCAACAACGTCAAATTTCATCAGGCACTTGAAAACTCACCCGGAGAGGTCAGTCACATTAACGCATATGGACGGTTAGCAAACATGTTTAGCTCAGCATCAGCTATGTAATGTTAACTTAGCTTGCTACTAGCTTTGTAACTGAATATTTGAAAAGATGAGTGAATGTTTGCTTGTCACACTTGTTTGCGTTGAGTGGCGTTGACATCCAACTCTTGACATGACATAAAAAAGGTCGGTAACGTCAATAATTACGTTCCGCTGCCACCATCTACTGGCTAACGTTAAACGTAGAAAAATACATAGTTACATACATAAATACATCTGTCGGTTTATAGGCAGGTTACAGGTTTATTGTTGACCACGTAACGTTAATGTTACAGGTTTATCAGGTTACCATTACACTGGGTTTGAGTGAGAGGATAGAGGAATATGTTTATTTATAGTAGACTTAAAAGATGTCATTAGAGACCCAGTGTAATTAAACAATACGGTTGCAGAGGTCAAATTTTAACATTTTTGTCCACTGGCCAAATGGCTAGCCTAGTGAATGTTGAAATGTTACCAGCCACTCAATAGATTGCCATTGTTATTTGTGGCTGGTGCGTGCAACATACAGTACCAGCCACTTGCATGATTTACCAGCATTTGGCTGGTAAATGGTGTTAATGGTAGATATCTCTTTTGGAACAGGTCATGTTTTAATATCACCAGTTCAGTATATTTCAGATAATATTGCAGCAATAGTTTTTTAGTTGCAAAGAACAAATGTTTTCTTTTAAGTACTTTTAACACAGTTTCCCTGCGGGGGATTAATAAAGTATTTGTGATTCTGATTCTTAAGTGTTTTGCTTATAAGTTGTTTGCATTTAGCTAAAGTGTGATGTTTTTCCTCATATTGCATTGCAATAGCCTGTTTTAAAGTGATCATATAACAAACAACTAATCAGTACTGATACTGTATGCTAATAGATATAGGAGTGATAATAATACAGTAAATGCTTTGAATTTCTTAGATATAGCTGTGCAGTATTCTTAACAGACTGGATAGCAGCAGACAATAGAAGGCTTATTACAACCAGAAGAGACATGAGACTTTTATTTTTTAGAGACTTGAGACTTGACTTGGACTCGTGACCAAAGACTTGAGACTTGATCAAGTCTCACCCCACAAAGACTTGAGACTTGACTTGGACTCGTGACCAAAGACTTGAGACTTGACTTGGACTTGCAAAAAAAGACTTGTGAACATCTCTGTGAATATCTAAATAATATACCAACATATGCTATTGTCATTAGTTGTGTCCCTGTTCTTCAAGCTAAGGCATTGCTAAATTAACAACTCTTGGCTTACAGAGTGGTAACATGAGACCCATTTTTATATATAAAATATAAATGTATTTTAATTTTATAATTTATTTTAAATATTAACAATATAATAAAATAAATGGAAATATATACACCGGCAAATATTTAATATAAATACCTTGTGTGTGTGTATAGCTATTGCTTTATCTGATGTTATTTTCATATGAAAGTCCATGATTATAAGTATGCAGTATCATAACTACATCTTTGATGTTTATAAAAAAACAAACCGTTTGAAAATTGAGCAAGCTATGGTTATTTAAATGGTAAACCATAATGTTATGAATGAGAACTGCCTGTGGCAAGATGGCGGCCAAGTGGCAACGTCGGTCTCCATTGGCCAGCAGCGCGGGTGAGTCATCTAGTGTTTATATATATCTATGGTTTTATCATGCGCTAATGAGCAACTCTCATAGGAATGAATGAGGCCCCGCCTCCCACGCTGTATCCAGTTATTATTATACATCCATGCCTGAGACGGGGCCAGTGACAATATCCTATGGTTTATATATATATATCTATGTGCTCCATGAGCGCATATACGGGTACTCAGGGGCGGACTGGCCATCTGTAGAATCTGGAGAACCACAGAACGGCCGGTCGTCAAGGGCTGTTGACGGCCGGCCGGCCCTTTAAAAAAATGTGTTTAACGTCATCTTTTCAGTTGCGCTGACGGCCGACAGAGGGCGAAAGCGGACGCTAATGCAGTTGTGTGGTTATTATCTGTCAAATAATCACACACGAAGAAGAAAAAAGACCGGCCACACGAAGAGAAGGGATTAGACGCCGCGGCAGACCCATGCGGCAGACAGGGAGATTGAAAAAACATGGATACAAATCAAAGAAAACGGTGGGGTTCTTATTATACATCCATGGGCGAGAAGGCAAGAGGAAAAATGGTGAAGTCACTCGCAGGTGAAGCATATAAATGTCGCAAATTGACAGATCTTTTTGGCAGCAGCGCTGCTACGAGCACTATCATCAGCAGCTTAGAACAAGTGCAAGATGATGAAGAGAATGATGATTAGGGCGCAAGTTCAGATATACAGCCAGCCTCCTGCGTTCATGATGAGGGACAGAGAGTTGAGCTGGTGGAAGAACCAGCTCAACTGGCACATACAAGAGCATGGGCAAGAGCAAGAGGTGGGTGAGAATTATCCCTTGAACTGCATTAATGCATCCTAATAAACAGCTGATTTCTAATAACTAAGCTAATTACAAATAGTACTGTATGTTTACGATGTCCCATGTGTTTAAGACATCTGAGGAGTGTCCGCCCTCTTTAGGTGAGAATTATCCCTTGAACTGCATAAATAGTAGGCTATTGTAATTTTTTGTTCTGATGCCACCACCCCCCACCCCCCGAATGTGGCCGGTCTGGGTCAGATTCCAGGGCTGAATTTTAGTCCCAGTCCGCCCCTGCGGGTACTTCTCAGGCATGATGGGTAATCTGTGACGTTTCGGACTTTCAAAAGTTGGACCATTTTATCTTCATGCTCTAATGAGCGACTCTCATAGGAATGAATGAGGCCCCTTTTTTGTCAGTTTCATTTTAAACTCAAAGATAAAACAAGTTCCTTTAAAAAAAAAAAAATTGCGCAGCTTATCTCTGCAGAGATGCCTACCCTGATAAATATTCTAACAGAACACTCATATTCAGACTGCAGCCTCTTACTCTGAACGTAGGCACTCAAAGTTCCAGTTGTTTGAGGTTAATGAGGGGGACCATTTTCAGCAAGCTGGTTATAAATGAAAAAAGGGTCACCCTGACAAGAGTTCTTTTGATCCTGCCTAAATACTTAATAAAAAGTATTCAGTCATGTTTTCTGATGGATGAAAAGGTTTTGACTGCAGCAGATTTCTCATTAACAGAACTTCATTCTGCAGATTGTTATGCTAGCACATGGTCCCCAATTATCTTTAGCAGTGGTCTGTTAGCATGACTCAACCCCTGGAACATCCAAATGACAAGTATTCAATTTGAGCACTAATAATTTCAGGTAGTATGCGTGGATAAATGCATTAGCTCAGTAATGAAACATTACATTAAGAAAGTTATCACTTTTAAATTCTTGATTATAGTTCATGGATATGAGGACACTGACAGACAAGAGAGATAAATAGTTGTTTATTTCAGTAAGTAGACATTCTGTTGCAGTGTACACAACAGCTGTACAAAGGTTGCCACAATGTGCAATGATGTCACCAGATCAGCAATCTGAAAATACAGGAAGCAAAGGTTCAGTACAAGCTACAGTAGTTAGGTCACTTCACCTTCATGTGACTGATGAGAGCAGCATGTGTACAGTTAGGAAGAGCATGTTCCCACAGGCCTCCTCAGCAGGCTGCTGAAGGAGACCTCTGGGATGCTTTTTATTTTATGGTCAATTCCACAGCAAAACAAGAATGGAGAGTCCTGCAAGCCTTGGTATATGACCAACACAGAGAGCCGCATCACTCCTTAGATCAAGCTTTAATACCAGGGGGGACATTCAGTTTACTCACAGGGAAAAGACGGGAGTCCTTCCTCTTCACATCTCAGGATTCTGAAAGTCAAGATTATTTAATGACATCCCAATTCATTATTTAACAGTTCTAAAGATGCACATTATGTATTTCTCCTTTAATCTTTCAAAAGATGCATGTGTCCTGCAGTAATATCCCACAATGCTCATGGGAGTGGACATGTGGGTAAAGCGTAACCACAGATTTATTCTGTGAGGTATTTCCAACGACACAGCCCTATAGGTAAAGGTCAGTCGGGATAGACCTCAGTTCTGTGACAGTCATACACTCACCTCTGCTGTGACGCCCTGCTGCATCCTGGGAGGTCAGCCTCTGCTGCTGCATCCTGGGAGGACAGCCTCTGCTGCTGCATCCTGGGAGGACAATAAGGAGTGTGTCAGCACATGCAGTTCTGTCATATCAAGATACCTTTAGATCAGTGTAATCTAACTAAGGTTTAGGAGAGTAGTATGCGAGTAGTTATCAAAGCTAGGCAGTTTGAGATGACAGCCAAAATGTATAAACACTACTGTTCCAGCTGCACCTCGAAGTAAATGATAATCATTTCATTTGACATAGTAGTCGGAGGAATTTGCAACCCACCAACACATTTTGTTTTTCGCTACACTTACACTTCAAGTGGAGATGATAAGCAAAACATTACCTCTAATGAGAACTACCATATGGTGAATGGGCTGTGTGAGGAAGTTGGTTTATGCCAACTATCAAGAGGAAGACGTTTCCTCTTGGTTAAGGGGTTTCACTGGCATGTACTAAAGCCACCTGCATACAGCTTTTTAAAGTCAGCCTGCTTCTAATTAAGTAATGTTTCAAATAACATACCAGGACTCCACACACAGGCAGCATGGAGACCAACGATGCCAGTTATTGAGTTTGTCTTGCACTGACTTATGAACTAACCAGCTGAGAAAGCAGCTGGCTGCAGATACCATACAGTGCTGTAAGCATCAGGTGTTTTCAATCACTGGACAGATATCACAAGAGCAGGAAGACAAACCCACCTACTGCTTTCAGTTCTGGAGTCTCAGGATTGTTCTGCCATCACAGCCACCTAAACACAGGAGACACATTCAGTCAATACATTTACCAAACATCTCAAGTTTAAAAGTTACTTTAACTCATTAGGTGGGCATCAAAGTCTAACTGAACAAGTGCTATTTAAAAAGACCCTTTCCTTTCACCAGTTCAAGCACTACATTTCTAATATTATAACATATCAAACACCAATCTCAGCATGGCCTAGTAAGTTGAAGGGTCCCTGCCTGTGCTGATACTCAGTATGGCCTCATGTCCCTTTTCATCATGCGTCCTGCAGTAATATCCCACAATGCTCATGCAGTGGACATGTGGGTAAAGCGTAACAGTTAGGAAGAGCATGTTCCCACAGGCCTCCTCAGCAGGCTGCTGAAGGAGACCTCTGGGATGCTTTTTATTTTATGGTCAATTCCACAGCAAAACAAGAATGGAGAGTCCTGCAAGCCTTGGTATATGACCAACACAGAGAGCAGCATCACTCCTTAGATCAAGCTTTAATACCAGGGGGGACATTCAGTTTACTCACAGGGAAAAGACGGGAGTCCTTCCTCTTCACATCTCAGGATTCTGAAAGTCAAGATTATTTAATGACATCCCAATTCATTATTTAACAGTTCTAAAGATGCACATTATCTATTTCTCCTTTAATCTTTCAAAAGATGCATGTGTCCTGCAGTAATATCCCACAATGCTCATGGGAGTGGACATGTGGGTAAAGCGTAACCACAGATTTATTCTGTGAGGTATTTCCAACGACACAGCCCTATAGGTAAAGGTCAGTCGGGATAGACCTCAGTTCTGTGACAGTCATACACTCACCTCTGCTGTGACGCCCTGCTGCATCCTGGGAGGTCAGCCTCTGCTGCTGCATCCTGGGAGGACAGCCTCTGCTGCTGCATCCTGGGAGGACAGCCTCCGCTGCAGAACACCTGAAGAAGGCAGGCAGGAGAGAGTGAGAACATGTTTGCAGCATTGATGTTTTATCATTACTTGATGTGAATTTCTCCCTTTTGATGAAATGCGCTCCATCTGCAGTGGGTTGCATGTACTATGTACCATGTACACAGGGTGAAGCCATTGCTTTCTAATGAATAATGTTTCAACAAACATACCAGGACTCCACACACAGGCAGCATGGAGACCAACGATGCCAGTTTGTGAGTTTTGTCTAGCACTGACTTATGAACTAACCAGCTGAGAAAGCAGCTGGCTGCAGATACCATACAGTGCTGCCATTATACCACATGTGTTACACTCCCCTGGAGGTCACATATCACTCTCGACAGTTACTTTGAAAACATGGTTTGTTTTCCTTCTGGAATCTCGTGCATTAATATCAGCCACCTGTTAGTTTATACCCTCTTGTTCAGGGACGTCAAAGTACTTACATCACACTGCAGTGTTGAAGGCCAGAGAGGACACCTGTTGAGGCAAAACTAGTTACTATGGGTTTCCATAAGCAGTGGCAGCAGCAGAGAGACTGCTGTATTTTGTTCAGTCGGGCATCTCTCAATCACACTTCAGAGCAGTTGAACATTAAGCCAATCATCATGACACTTGAACAGTGACTGAATTCTGAAATGCAACTTACCAAGCTATCCTTACGGTTTCATCACCTGCCAAAGAACAAAGAATGTTAAAAGGACTGCCATAAACTAAAATATTTATATTGATAAATGTAACAGATGTCTTTTCTCATAAGTAACACTGCTACAAGCAGCAGCAGTGGGTTGCAAGAGAATGATTTGCTCTATGCACTGTATGAGCTCTACGGCCCACCTAACAGGACCAGAGCTCATACTGTGCCAAGCAGATAAGACACGCATCAACAGTGCACATTTATTTGAGGAAAAGTCATGTCCAGGCTTGCTGTATTTAAAGAGGTGGCGTCTATTCAACTGAAATGCTATGAAGTGGTTGATGATGTTTTGGATACCCAAGCAGCGAGGGCCACCCTGACCCTACCCCAGATCTTATAAAACAAGAGTATCCCGATTACATTAAATACAAACTAGTCGTTTCTGAAGCTTGTGCCAAAAACCGTGACAAGTCAAATGTCCATGGAAGCCTGAATGTTTAGGTTGTCAGGCTCCGACTAGTTTCATGAAATGAAGACAGAACACACGACATCTAAATTGGTTTTACTGTGTCTTTCTGAATAAAGAAAGAACAGACACCTACAGATCTGATGCACCGATATACCATTAGACTGAATCCATGAAAACAAATACTAACCTCATATCCAAGAGGGGCAGCTCAAAATCTTCCCCCATCGAGGCGAGCAGTAAGATCATATCCTGCAATAAAAAGGGAAACAAAGTGTGTTATTATGGAGAGGTTTGAACATAGCCATCTCAGCCAACAATTAAACAGAGCCAATATTGGAAGCAAAAGCAACTAGATTTTATTAAAAGAAATGGGGGAAACCTGTCATCATGCTGAAATAGTCTTGTATGAATAAAATAATGTGTTTCTTTCATTGGGGGGGAAACAGTGATGCATCTCTAAACCAATAGACAGGGTGAATGTGCCAGGCCTCATTGACACCGTTCTGCAACCAGCAGTGCAGAGGTGAAAGCAAAACCTGATGTTCTATAGCGACTGTTGTCCTGAGATCAGCCCACTGCATAGGGCCATCCTCCTGACATGTGGCTCTGCTAGGACCAACTCAGTGATCTGGTACTGACCCAAGCCCATCCAACTGGTACTACTCAATATATTAGGCTCAGATTAGGACTTTGTAAATGCCCCTTGCAATAATCACAGCTGGTGATTTGGGTAACTTGTTTCCCCCCCATTGAAAATAAATATGATTTTAAAAAACAAAATGTTGCCAGACCTAGGATTGCATCAATAGCTACATTTGAAAAAGTATTGTTAATTTTTAACGACTTCAGGAAAAAAAGGCTCTGGTACTCAAATAAATATTCGAAAGCCATGCCGCCAGTAATGCAGTTTGCATGCTACATGCATCAGGACTGAAACTACTGCACATATGTATGAATGCAGTCTTCGCATTCATTTACACTCAACATACTATCCTCACCCAGCTAGATGCCCCGCACGAGGTATATGCAATGCACTTAGAGCTGCCGGTGTTTCAACTACACGAGGAGGCCTGTTAGCCTTTCTAGCATTAAGCTAACTAGCAGCTACTGTGCTCAACCAGGACAACGTGGAGTCCACAACGTGTGCACGTCGTGTTTCACATGTCTTATTAAAATCCCACTAAAGTAACTTTACTTACACATGAGGACATTTATGCTGTGCCAGGTATTTTTCAGCGAATATTTATTTACCTGCTGCGTGTTTTCTGGACGACCAGGACCGAACAGTGTACCGCGCAGGAGACACTACACCGACCGAGGAACTGAGAGGACAACCGACCTGTCGCCAACGTATTTATAGGGGAGTTTTACGTCAGTTGAAACCACTTTTCGTCAAAAACTTCTGCGTTGAAGGCAGCTCGGAAATCCTGGGATCCTTACAGCAAGATCTTTATTAGCTCAATATTAAATCTGTCCGACATCAATCAGTGAGTGGTGGAAGAAGTATTCATATCCGTTAGAAGTACGAATAATACACTGTAAGTAAATCAAATTTACTAAAAGTAGGCTACTCATTGCAGATTTTAAAAAGATTTTAAAAAGGAAAACAATTTAAAATAAAAGCAGTAAATCTTCACATATGAGAACATTCACAATGTGACATGTTAACACAACAAATACTTAAACAATTACCACAATTGCTGCCAATTCATTTTCTGTCAACCCACCCACTGTTTTAGGTATGCTTAAATATATGTTGGAACATTTAAATCTAGATAAAAACATCATATTTTAAAAATTCTCTTTTGTGTGTCAACATCTGAATCTTAAGATTAACTAGTATCCAAAGCTGTAAAATAAATGTAGTCAAGTAAAAGTAAAATATTTCCATTTATATAGTATTAGATGGCGGCCGGCCCATAGGGGCGCCGCCCCCCCTCTTCCCACATTACAAATAAAAAATATATATATTTAAAAAAAATATATATATATTTTTTTTTTACAAATATTTGTATTGGTATTTCGTTTTTTCAGCATAATACATTGTACAAGTATATATCCCATAAAGGAAAATCAAAAACAAAGTAATACAAGAAAATACAAGAAAGAAAGAAAAAATAATAAAAAGAAAGACATATAAAGACATATATATATACACATATACACACATACACACATATATATATATACACACATGCATGCATACATGCAAGTGGACATGTGGTAAATATTGTAATTTAAACATTGCAAGTTACAAGGCCGGTAGACAAGCAGCCATATCCCATCCAACCATTATAGAGGACAAGGTCAATTAGGAGGCACATTTATTTCCAGAAACTCCAAGAATTCCCCCCATATTTGATGGAACACTTCAGGCTTTCCCTTTATGGCAAATGTCAATTTTTCTAAGGCTATGAGAGAGATTTTTTAACCAGTGATTGATCGAGGGGTTTTCTGTTTTTTTCCAACAGACAGCTATTGTGTGTTTAGCTTGGAGAAGAGAAAAGACTACAAGTCTTTTCTTAGTGATATTAAGTCTGGGAGATAGAGGGAAAACCCCAAGAATACAGAGTTTTGGGCATTCTGGTAATGTGGCGGAAATTATTTTTGATAATGTGCCCAGAACATCTTTCCAAAATGATTTAATATTTGGGCAGTCCCATAAGCAGTGGAACAATGTTCCCTTATCATTATCACACTTTACACATTGATCTGGAATATTTGCATCAAAATGGTGTAGTAGGGATGGAGTTATATAGGTACGCATGATCCATTTGTACTGTAGGAGTCTAAACCTTGTGTTAATAGTTTGAACCTGGGCTTTGTGGCATATCTGCCCCCATTCCTCAATTGTTACCTCTGAATTCAAATCAGTAGACCAAGCAAGTCTTTTATTCTCTGAGGACTCTTCTGATTCAGTTTTGCAAAGGTCATAGATCAAAGACACCTGTCCATGACCAGAGGAGTGATGTACTATAATTGTTTCCAGCTTTGACAGAGGTGGACATAATAGTGAGTGATCTTGTGCCTTAGATATATAACTCCTTAGCTCCAGATACTTAAAGAAATGTGTTGAGGGAATATGATGTTTATTTCTTAGCATCTCAAAGGTCATCAATTTGTTGTCATCATATAGATCACTGATCTTATTGATGCCTCTGTTGGCCCACATTTTAAACCCTGAGTCATATGTTCCTGGTATAAATCTTCTATTACCCCATACAGGAGTAAAAGAGGATATCTGTGACTTTAAACCTAAGTGGTTTTGTACTTTGAACCAGACATCAATTGTGTTCCTGACAAAAGGGTTTTTTGTATTCTTTTTAAGCTGTTTTGGAGAGTCAGAGAACAAATACAAATTCAGTGGTAGTGGAGTTGTTGTATAACGTTCAATTTCAACCCATGGTATGGGGGTTCCGTCCAAGAACCAACACATTGCTGCTCTTATTTGGGCTGCCCAGTAATACCAGGACAGATTGGGTACCCGGAGTCCTCCTCTCTCATAAGGTAGATATAAAAGGGATAGCCGTAACCTTGGTCTCTGATTGTTCCAGATACAATTTGTAAAGATTTTCTTCATTTTGGGAAAAAATGAGGATGGTGGGTGCAATGGCAGGGATTGAAATAGATACAGAAATGTAGGTAGGACATTCATCTTGATAATATTGATGCGTCCGATTAGGGATAGAGGGAGTGATGTCCATCTGTTAATATAATCTGTCACAGAAGCTATTATGGGGTCATAGTTTGTTGGAACAAGGTCTTCTATTTCAGGTGTAATCTGTATTCCTAAATATTTAAAGCCTTCCAGGGAATTTTGGAAATCTGTTTGAAGAGGTGGATTAAGTCTTTCTGATTTTTTAAGTAGAAGAATGTTAGATTTTGAACTATTCACCTTATACCCTGAGAACGTACCAAAATCCTTTATCGGTTTATTGAGCGCTGGCAATGACATTGACACATTTTTTATAAATAGAACGATATCATCAGCGTAAAGGGCCAGGCGATTTTCAATGCCCCCAACTGTTATTCCTGTGATATGAGAATGAGTTCTAACCGCGATAGCCAGGGGCTCAATTGCCAGTACAAATAGTAATGGAGATAGAGGGCACCCCTGACGTGTACCTCTCGATAGTGCAAATGGTGCAGACACTATGCTATTGGTTAATACTTCTGCATTTGGGGTGCTATACAAAATGTGTATCCACCTACAAAAACCCTCCCCGAACCCAAATCGGGATAATATTTCGAATAGATACGGCCATTCCACCCTGTCAAAAACCTTTTCGGCATCCAAGGACAGAATGGCCGTATCTGGAGCCCCCCTTTCTGTATGTAAAATATTGATCAACCTCCTAATATTGTGGAAGGCCTGTCTGCCCTTGACAAAGCCATTCTGATCCAGGCCCACCAGTGTAGGCAGGTGATTTTCAAGTCTTAAAGCCAGTGCTTTAGCGATCAATTTTGTATCTGAATTAAGCAATGATATAGGCCTATAAGAGCCACACCTGGAGGGGTCTTTTCCTGGTTTTAGGATAACTGTTATTAATGCACCCTGTAAGGTTGGGGGAAGACAACCCTTTTCGAATATCTCCTCGACCATATTCAGGAGCGGTGGCAGCAGTTTGTTTTTAAAGGCTTTATAGATGTCTATGGGGATCCCATCAGGACCAGCTGCCTTTCCACCCTTCATGTTAGTCATGGCCTCAGACAATTCTAATAGTTGTATTGGTTTATCTAAATTAGCTTTTCGTTCCTCAGACAAACATGGAAAGTGTATCCCGTCCAAAAAAACTGACTGAGTCTTTGGGTCGCCAGGGGGCTCAGACTTGTATAGGTGATTATAAAACGTTTTAAATGATTCATTCATTTCTTTAGGATCTGATGTAATATTTCCAGCATTGTTTTGAATTTCGTTTATCGCTCTTTCGCCATGTAATGCCTTAATTCGCCAGGCTAGTAATTTGCCTGCTTTTTCCCCTTGGTCATAAAATGACTGTTTGAGTCTGTTGATACTTGCCAAGGCTTTATTGGACGATAGTTCATTGTAGTGGGCTCTTTGTAATGTCAATTTGCATTGTAGATCAGGTGTGTCGTTAAGGGCTATGTCCCTTTCTAGTTGTTTTATTTCTTTTTCTAAATCAGACATTTGACGACGGAATTTGTTCGATTTAGAGCTTGTGTAGCTAATTATCTGACCTCTAATGTACGCCTTAAATGCCTCCCACCTGACAGAGGGAGAGGTCTGCGTAGTGTTTATTTGAAAGTACATATCTATGTGAGAATCCAGGAAGCTTACAAAACTTGGGTCATGCAGCCACTTTGTATCAAAACGCCATCTCGGTGTACCCTTAAATGGCTTTACTGCAATGTAGTCCAAGGTTAATGGGGCATGATCCGAGATTACTATGCTGCCGTAGGTACACTTCTTAATATTTGGCATTAGGTTTTTGGAGATTAAGAAATAATCAATGCGTGAGTAAGTATGGTACGTGGAAGAGTGGCATGAAAATTATTTCTTGTCAGGGTTTAGGACTCTCCATATGTCACATAGACTCATATCCATCATGAACTGTGAGATCACCCTCCTTGTCTGTATGTGGGAGGCATCTATGCCTGAATATCGGTCTACAAGAGGGTTGAGGGTGCAATTAAAATCGCCACCCATTATAATGTTACCTCTAAGTGAAGAGATATTTAGAAAAAGATTATTGTAAAAAAGTTGGTCGTCAATATTTGGCCCATAAACATTTATTAAATTAAGTTGTTCACCCAATAAGGTACCTTGTATTATTATATATCTACCTCCTATGTCCGCATTGATGTCCGTCACTTGAAAAGGGACCGATTTATGAATGAGTATTGCCACTCCCCTTGAGTGTGACGAAAATGACGCAGTTATGACCGGTCCCTGCCATCGTCTTCTCAAACGCAAAATCTCAGTGGATGTTAGGTGGGTCTCTTGCAGGTATACTACCTTGGATTGCAACATTTTAATTCTAGTCATTACTTGTTTTATTTTAGATAATCCCCCTAGCCCTCTAACATTCCATGATGATATTTTAAAAAGGTTATCAAGTGTCATCAACCCATCTCTCCAAAATGATCAAAAGGGACCTCATTGTAAATATTGAAACAGCAACTACTCGTCTACCAAACCACATTGTCACATCAAGGATCACATATAAACAAACGTAAAAATACAAATACACACCATAAGAAAACATGAACCCTCTGTCTCCCCAAACGAGATGTGAAACACTCTCACCAACGGCCTTAACGAAACGCGCCGTCCTCCTCACCTCTTCCATGTAAGAGCTCCTAGGCTATTTAACCGATCCTTTAAGAGGA